AGACCCCATTCTAATTATTAAGGCCTCTATGGCAAGGGTCTCCGTGATGTAATGATGATAACAGTCACACTTCGTAGTGGTATGGGTGCTCAAAGCCCGAAAGAGCCCTACACCCTACACCCTACAGAACTTGCAGCACCTTAGCCTTAGTTTACAGCGCCCCTAGGGTTTTAAAGTCTTGTTCATATAAATCATCTAAAAACCCGAGAGAATATCAAACATGGTTAAACGGGTGGTATGGCAGAAGATTCAGAGCATCAAACCCAGGAGCTCTTCAAGCGGAAGTTGATGGAGGTGGCGGGGCCACGGAGAGCAGCTGCTGGGCAGGAAGATCTGTTGGGTTCAGTATGGTACGTTCTTGGTTTGGGATTTGTAGGGTTTAGGGCAGAAGGATATCGGGTTAGGGGTGTGTTTAGGTTTTAGGCTTTTTGGGGGGTCGGGGAGATGCTGTTGAAGATCTGGGGCTGGAGTTCTAGGTCTTAGAGTTCGGGGTTTGGGATTGAGAGTTTGGGGATTCAGTTTTTGTCCGGGGGTTGGGGGCTTTGAGGGAGTCTATGAAACTCACGAGTTACGCCGCAATCCCAATTATCGTCGCTTGGGTTTTCTCGTTTTCGTAAAGATACCTGACGTCAGTTGGAAATCGCTAGACATTGCCACCCACTTCTACATATGTCTTCTGATAGCGAATAGTTAATAACCTTCTGCCAGAGGGGAGGCTCAAACTAGGCTTTGGAAGGTTTGGTGTCAAGACCCTGAGTGTTTGAGCCCTAGTGAGACAGCAGGGCCCCTTGTTTTTAATGTCAGACTTTACATCCGGAGCCGATAGCCTCAATTCGTGAGAATGTGAGTGCACGGCTTCACAAGGTAAAGGGGTAACATTTCCTGTGGTGTTTGCCTCCCGCAGTTTCTGTTGTCTTAGCAACAACGTGCTCCAAACCCCGAAGGAATCCAAAACCCCAAACTGTAGATCCCTAAATACCACCCTCAACCCTGAACCCTGACCCTGAACCCCATAAACCCGAAACCCTAAACCCCCTACACCCAAACCCTAAACCCCCCAAACCTCCTAAACTTAAAACCCGACTCGAGGTTAGCCTTCGGATCCCCACGATTCTCCTCGCCGGAGCGATGGCGACCTTCTTCGCGTGCATAGGCCTGGGATGCGGGGTTTAGGGAGAGTGGCGACTGCGAAAGTCTTGAGTAGGGTTCTTGGAAGGTTCTATGGGGAATTTGGAGTTTTGGTGTTCTAAGGTTTACAACTTTTGGCTGGAATGCGGGTTTGGGTGGACTTCGTCTCTGACACTCAGGACAGAGCAGCCAGTGGATGATTCCAGCTGCATGACACTCCCCAGGGCCCCAGTTCCCTAGATGGACTACTGGGTTGCACATTCCATGGTTAAACTAGCTGGAGCCCTAGCCACTGTTCCGAACAACCCGCAACTTCAGACTCTGATCTACTCTAGTGCCTTCCACTCTATATGGGAGTTTCTGGAAATAGGGGACCGTAAGATAGTACCCTAAACAGTAGGCTCCTTTTTGTAAGGACCCCAACGTAAGGTACCCCCAAGTTTCGGAAACTCCCATATCCCCAATCCGATCCAATCCCTGCCTTGCACCAGGTGTGGCCCCAGCAGAGGCCGGCGGACTGCAATCCGCATTCAAAGCTGGCATGTGGGTGTTTTCCACACTCAGATGTAGGGTTCAGAGTAGGACACACAGTACAGGCCTAAGCGTATAGATTTCGTAAAGGACAGGTTGGGCTTCGTCATTTCCCGGGTTCAGACTTCTGTGGCGAGTCACCCTGCATGCATAGTGTCCTTTGACAGGCTCGGAGGAGCAGAATGCTAACTTTCTACGCGAAATTGCACCCGAAACAGCAGACGTCGCAGCAGTCTTGCACGTTGCAGCACTAGAAATGCCCGGGGTACTTTAGCAGCGTTGTGCCTTCCGGCTAGACGGCCGAAAGCTATGGCACATCCGTCGCTCAAGCGTGCGGACGAGTTCTTGGAAGTCTTCAACCGCAAGTTTGACAAGAAGTACAGCAGCATAGAGAGCTTCAATGCTGCACGCAAGCCGTATTGGCAAATGATCCTCACAGGCATGGAGCGCGCCGAAGCCTGCAAGTCCTGCCCCTTCGTCCGTGCCATCGTGGCCATGGAGGTCGCAGTGCGGGCAGGGCACGCCGGAATGCTACCCCCGAAAGCTTCTGTGAACATGTTCAGTGGCCTCGAGTCGAAGTTCAAGATTCCCATCGAGACTTCGAAGGATGGGGTTGACTTGCAAGATGAGAAGATCCCAGCCATACTTGGGATGGCCATCCGAGGACTCCCGTCTCGTAATGAAATACCAGCGCCTGTGCTTGCCCGGCTACTGTACGGGGCCGAGGGCCTAGCCGTTTGTGATCACATCACTGGCTGGGTTAAGCAGGGTAAAGAGCTGTCCTACTGGGAGAATGACTTCAAGCACTTCGCAAATTTGCTTTTGGACCACCTCGAAGTCGATCAGGAGTCTCGTGACGCCTTCGACGGCAAGGTAGCCAGAAAAATCGAGGGTGCCAAAGCCCGTCGCATGGAGGGTATGCAGCGCAGCATGCAGGATGGGTCTTTGCAAGAGATGCTGCAGCAAGCTATGCGGCCCAAGATCCAAGAGTATGAGGGAGGCCCCTGGCGCCCGATGACAGATGAAGAACTGGAAGAAGAGCAGCAGTTCATGCGCGGCCAATCCTAGGGAACCTGCTAGTTTGGGAGATGGGAATGCTACGAACGCATTCATTGAGGTTTCGCCTTCAGATTTAGTGGCGCTCTCAAAAGCTCGGAGTCCGTTTTGCGACGGCGAAGGCCACATTTGACAGGTTCGAGTTTCCCATGATTCCTGCATCTGACACCCAAGTATGTGTCTATCTATATATCTATGTGTCTCTCTATCCATGTGTAGGTATATGTATAAGTATATGCTTACCCTGACAAGATCTCTAGGATTTACATGCGTATACTATTTGTTGTATGCACATGCATTTACATGTACATATACATATTCATATACATATACATATAGATATACATATACATATACATGTACATATATACATATACATATATACAGCTACATATACATCTACATATACAAATACATATACACATACACATACCTATACATGCATAAGCATACATATACATATACATATATACATTCATGTGTACGTATGTATGTATGTCTGTATGTATGTGTGTATGTACATACATACATACCTACATACCTACAGACGTACATGCACACATTAGGCCCTGAATCCGCAAATTGCTGCTCGGCCTGTTCTCCTTTGATTCGAAGATGCTGGACCCCGGCATAAACTAGCGGCCTAGTTGAAACGACAGCTTCTTAACCTTAACCCTTTAACCACTCCACAAAGCTGCAGCGGTGCTGAGGGCGTATATTTGTTACTCAGGAGAACGGACAGACATGAGGACATGGAGTTGAAGTGCGGATTGCGGGTATAGCTTTGGTTTGAGCTTCGACTTAAGTTCAGGAAGCGGTGCACGCCCCTGCACCCCCCCAGGCTACAGAAACTAGACATCCCCGATAAATCCAGAGGTCCCTGCACTCAGCACCGTACCTACTTGACTGAAGCGATCAAAGCTTTCCGCCTTGGGCTGTGAAAGGCTGTGCGCATTCGAACCGTGGCGGAGAGAGGCACTGTGAACTCCGGTTTCGCGCGATTCGGTTTTGCAGGAGGTTGAGTCGTCTTCAAACACAGACTCCCAATTGCAACACCGAAAGAGCATTGAACTCCGAGGGCCGAGGGGGGTCTTTTTTGGGGGACTCCAGGTCTGACACGCTCGAGGACGTACAGACCTCAAGCAATGCAGCATCTGTTTGGCACCAGAAATCACCGTCGTTTTGGACCCATTCACCATCATCGTTTTCGCCATCAAGAGCCGCACCATGATCACGACATGTTCAGTAAGAATCAGCATCATCGCCAGCATCCTTCCATCGTCGTCATCATTCCCGTCATCCTAGTCATCACTAGCAACAGCAACAACAAAACCAACGGCAAAGACAACAGAACCGTCGTGATCAACGCCATCCCTTCAGTCAGCAGATTCAAGCCCACAAAAGGGCTCAACCCTACAACCCTAAAGCTTGCGCCCGACGCATCCCTCACCACCAGCGACCCTGAACCCTACGTGAGGCTTTTCCCCCGATTTTCTGAGCTCCTGGCACCACCTTTTCGCTGGCTTTCCACCACTGCTCCTGAGACAGGCCACTTTAGGGCTCTTTGGGTGTGCGGGTAGGGATCTTAACTGAAGCTTTAGGTTTTTAAGGGTTCAGGCTTTATGTTTCGGTTGATTGGGCAAGGACTCGGAAGGACATGCACCCCGAACCTACAGCTAAGGCTAACGATGCGTTAACGTTCGGTTGTGAAGATCTGGAAGTCCGAGAGACTTTGATGCGGGCTGTAGCCCTGTAATTCCCAAATCTTGAGCTCAGCCATGAGTTTTGGGGATATGCTTCGGTGCATTAATCTACTTCGTCCCTCATCTGCTCTAAATTCGGGAGGAGGTGCCGGTTGGTGGGTTGAGTTCGAGACAGTTGGGTTGCAGCTTCAGTTAGGTGTAGGCACGGGAACTTATGGCACGGGGTTGCTTGGATCTGGTATACACAGGTCTGCGGAGATCTAGCAGCGGATCGTACGCCTCCCTTTCAACCAGACCATAGCGTTGAAACTTCAACCCTAACCCGTATCGAGGTATAGCCAAAGCCCTGATCCCTGACACATACTGTTTCCCATCATCGTCTATGCCACGGAAGAACGCACGACCGACCACTTCACAAACCCTGAACCCTCCCGGCTTTAAGCCCCGGAGCTCTAAACCCTGTAAACCCAGCATAGAAGGGCCGCAAAGAAAACACAACGTGACCCGAAGCCCCGAACAACTCGAACCCCAAAACCGGATGCTGCTGCGGATCACCGGGAAAGTCTCCAGGTTTTCTTCGGAATGGCCAAGTTCCTGGTCTTCGACACCGTGGCAGCCTCAGCGCTCCGTTACGAATGAAATGCGCCACTACAGTCTGTGTAAAAATTCTTCTTGAAGTCTTTTGAGGGATAGAAAGAAGGTAGCATTAGAATCAGGGTTGCCATTACATAGCCATGCTGGAATCTATAGACGGAAAACTAAGCTGAACCCTAGAAATCTACAAGCACAAACCCTGAGCCACGAAACCCTAAGCGATATCACATCGCTGAGGCAGTGTCAAGCTGCTTGCCATCGCCCACAACTCCCTTCTGGGACATAAGTATAAGCATATCCAGATGAGGTCGCAGCAATGGTCTACCGCCAGCTACCTTGGATGGCGAACAGGCACGATTTCAGGGGGCGAACAAATCTTCGGGGTTCTTTGATGCATGCAGGCCGCAATTACTGCCCCTTTACGCTACCGGATCAATTGTTTGTGACGTGTCTCTATATTCACTAGGCATAAATAGAAAACATAAACATAGGCAAAGCATGTTAGACATATCTGAAGATATCTACTTGAAACATATAACACTGTAGGATGTTTACCATATAATACACCATAATATAGTATGATATATGAGAACTTGAGAACTGAATCGAATAAAGTAGGATTGAACAGAATACAACGCAATGCAATATAATACCCTCCACTAGAATGTCCTTGGAATGTGTATATATACAATCCAAATATATACATATATATAGAGAGAGAGAGAGAGAGAGAGAGAGAGAGAGAGAGAGAGAGAGTTATGGTTCTAGCGTCGCAGCAGGACCCACCAAGAGCCATCGCAGAATCTACCCCCCAAGAAGCGGCTTCGAATCCCACAGGAAAGACCTGCTTCTTATCTCCGGCGTCCCCTGCGAACCCCGACCCTCAGTAGCCCGAACTCAGCCCTGTGGCTACGAGAGCTCGCTGTGCAGGCATTAGGATTGTTGGGCCTTTATAGGGGTCGAGAAGAGGGGCCTTAACGATTAGAATAGGTTTGGGGGTATATGAGACTATATAAACTGTAAGAAGGATAATGAGCATAATACAACAAAAAATGCTAGTAATGAGCCCTACACGCACTAGTGCTTCTTCCGACTCCTATAGTGGGGGCTAGGAGTAAACCAGGTTTGGGGCTTTTCCTTTTCTTGGGGCTTGGGGCTCAGGACCTAGCTTAGGGTTTAGGGTTTAGGGTATCAAGAGGCTTTGCTTCTGTAGGTTCGAGGGCTTTGGGCTTAGGGTTTAGGAGGAGGTTTCAGGAGTTGGGCCTGCAGTCTTCGAGTTCGTTGACTGGTTTCTCTTTTCGGAAAGTCTTTGAAACTCTCCTTCCACCCTTTGGGAAATCAGCCTGAGACCCTAGATAGTAGCTTCTTGCTAGATACCATGGGTCCCAGGTTTAGTCTTACAAACCCTACACCCTACAGCCTAAACCCTAAAGCCTATCCCTAAGCCTGAGCCCTGAAGTTTAAAGCCTAAGCCCTAAACCCTAAACCCCAAGCAGCTTGCCAGGAAAGGGACTTCCTCCATGGTGTCCATGTTTTCCGGCGCCGTTGCAGGCTGGGTTTCGGGTTTAGGGATGTAGGCCTTAGTTGCAAGAAAAAGGGGCCTTAATATTGAGGTTAGAGTTTTTTTTTTGGGTGGTACTTTTCTATAACTACAATAAGGAACACCCAAGACCCGATTCTAATCATCAAGGCCCCTACAGTAGAAGCTTTCAGAGACCCGGTTCCCTGGCAGATTCTTGCGATGCAGGAGCTTGTCGCTCGGAACTCTCCATCTGTAAACCTATCACCCTGTGGCCTTGTGAAATGAGGTGCTGCAGGACAAGGGTTTGCAGATGTTGTTTAGTTTCGTGTTTTTTCGAAGCGCTGGTTTCTGCCCGGTTCTTTCGGTTTGAGGACTTCGGGCTAAGTCTCTCTTGCCTGAATGTTGCATACTCAAGGTTCGGAGTGTACTATCGTACTAATCTCTGGTTAAGCTTCGGCATGCCCCCCCCCCGTCAACACCCAGCTTGTATGTCCAACTAAAGGCTTTCTATCAGAATTTCTCGATGCTAGAGCGTTGAAGTCGGTTCGGTTTCGGCATTTGTTTGACCAGCTTTGCAGGCATTATCTCCACCTTCGTGAGCCAGCCTGCAGACGCCATCCTCACGTGCATGTCGGCGACCCCTCAGCTAGGCGCTTTGAGCCCTGATGCTTGAGGGTTTAGGGTGTTCAGTTTTTGGGCTTCGAGGTCAGGAAAGGGAACCAGCAGTTCGATGGTCCAGGATTAAAGCTGCTAGTTGCTTATAGTTGCTTATCAGTTATCCCTACATGATTTCTGCTGCTGCTAGTACCATTCCTGTTGCCATGAGGGCCGAGGTCAGCATTTATACCGCTGGCAGTCCTACTGCTGTCACAGAGGGAGACAATGACGGTGAGTTCTTTGTGCAAATGTGCAGCCTAGTCGAAATGTGAGGTTTTCAACATCCTCCATGTCTATCTCATCAAATGGCTAAGAGTAAATCAAACGGTTAACAGTACTGGAAACGACAATTCTCATAGAGAGAGAGAGAGAGTGTGTGTGTGTGTGTGTGCGTACGTGCATGTTATGTAGCTTGTTTGTTGTCAATGATGTATTGTAATGGCCGTAGTGGTTGTACCAACACTTAGTTAGTACCATAGCATAGTTACGGAATGGACTCGATGACTTCAGGGTTCCACCTACAGCTACTATAGTGGCCCTAATCATTAGAATAGGGGTTCCTTTTAAAAGGGGTCCTATAGGGGTTACTACAAGGGATCTAGAAGGGTACTATAATATGTAGTTGTAGAGCAACTACCGCTTTGAGTTGAAAATCTCGTCGTCCACCGAGTGGTTTGTGGCGGGGTGCGGACGCCGTCGGAGCCAGTTCTGAGGCTAATGTAAGGGTACTTAAAGGATCATGGGACTTAGTAATTTCGGTTATTATTAAGGTAACTATACTTATAACCCCAATTAAGATACTTATAACCATACTTACTAAGTCCCATCATCCTCCAAGTATGGAATGCAGTACTGGGCTCGAAGGAGCAGAAGGGATGTTGTGGCAGCCACTCTTTCATTGCAACCAGTTCTTTCAATCCCTCCACGCATGTTTTGGGGAGAATGCAGCTCTTAGCCGAAGCCCTGAAGCATCAGGCCCTAAGCCTTAGATCCAAGACCGAAGCCTGAGAGGCATAGCAGGAGCAGCATCAGCCTTGTGGAGAGACGGACTGCCGGGGTCGATTCTGATGGCTTTTGGGGTTTAGGGGTTTGGGGTTTAGGGGTTTGTGGGTTTAGGGGTTTTGGGGGTTTGGGGGTTCAGGGGTTTTGGGGTTTTGGGGTTCAGGCGTTCAACTTTGAAGGGTCCTTGCCACAGCCAGCTGTTCTTGAAGTACAGAGGACACTGCAGATTTCCATGGGCGTTGACACTTTGACTACTTGACTGCTGTAGCCTTGCTGTCATGCAGTAATCGTTGTGGTCCGAATGAGACATCTGCTACACTGAATCTTCATGATCGGTGTTTGTAAGGGATCTGACAGAAGTGCTGCAGTCCCCGTAGATAGTCAGATTGTTGCGAGGAATTGCATGTCTACACCTGGTGGTGTTGCACTGCCAAGTTGCTTGTCGTGCATCGATGTGGCATGAGGTCCCACGAAGCTCATGAGGTTGACGGACCCCTCAGAAATCATTGCCTTCTAATGTAGGGGCCTAAATAATTACTATTATTATTGTTAGGGTTCCTTATTCTGAGTATAGCATAATGGCGCTTCGTGTGTCAGACTTCCCACCTGTCTCTCATGTTTGCTACCTCCAGCATCAAGCCCTACCCGACCCAAATTACACAACACCTCGAGAGCCATGCAGAAGCCTGCTCTTGCAGGACAGTTCGGTGCCTTCTACGCGGGCTTCTGGGCGCGCAAGAGAACGTGGAAGCACCTGCGAGGTTAAAGCCCAAACCCTACTGACCAGTTTCTAACCCGGTCAATCCCTACTGACCAGTTTCTAACCCGGTCAATCCGAGAGCGAACTTAGTGTAAATTGTATTGAATATGGGATACCCCACAACCCTAACCCCTTAAACCCTGAACCCTAACCCAAAACCCAAATTGTTTCGAATCACTAACTTAAAAGTTAAGACCTCTAGAGTTGGCTTTACACACTAAGCCCTGGTCTCTCGAAAGCCGCTGTGCCAGACCACCACCACCAAGCCCTGAACCTTAGGACCTCGAAGCCTAATGATTTTGGCTGCAGGGGTTCAGGTCTGGGGATTTGGGGGGTAGTCGGGGGGTTCGGATGTAACGGTTCAGGGTTTAGAGCGTCGAGCCGTTCAACTTGGTTCGATTGAGCCTTTCTTGGAGGTGTTAACCTGAACTTTCGTCCTAAACCCAGTCCTGAAGGCCAAGACCGAGATCCAACTTTAAATTTCTAAACCCCTCAAACCCTAAACGATTAAGCATCCATCAAACCCCGGGAGCCCCGAAGTGAAAAGGCTCCAAACCGAGGTTTCTCCACGAGGGCCGCGTGGGCCGCCGCCATCATCGGAGGGCCCGGGGTCTCAGGAGTCGGGGTTTAGGGTTCCAGAAATTCCAAGATCCCTTAATTAAGGTATATTCCTGAGAATCATATTAGGGATCCTACAATGATTTTAAATGTAAATTCCTTAATTCAGGGGTCTCAGGAGTCGGGGTTCAGTGTTTCAGGAATTCCAATATCCCTTTATTTAGGGAATATTCACTACTACAATTTTAATGCAAATTCCTTAATGAAGAGGTCTCGGGAGTCGGGGTTCAGTGTTTCAGGAATTCCAATAGCCCATTAAGGATTATTCCTCAAACCATATTAGGGATCTTACTATAATTCTAATTTAAATTCCTTAATGAAGGAATATTCCTTAAACCAGGTTAGGGATCCTACTATAATTCTAATTTAAATTCCTTAATGAAGGGCTCTCCGCAGTCGGGGTTTAGGGTGTAGGGGGCCTGAGGAGTTGGGGTCTCAAGGAATATCGGCGCCTCAGGAATTACCAATACTATTTTTCTGTTCCTTATTATAGTTCTACAGTATCATATAATTAACCCCAAACCTATTAGAATTTGTTAATAAGGCCAGTACAGTATGTACTTTGTTTCGGGCTTGCGGTCTTATTTAATCACGGGTGCAGCGTTTCGGGTTTATGCACATTGACGTACAAGTTTGTGCATTTCTTGCTGTCAATAGTACAGGCATTACTGTATTCTGAATACGAGCACGTACGTAGTTGCAATGTCACTTCATCGTTTACTCGAAAGGTTGCTGCTGCAGCCGCAATAGTTACCAATAGTTACAGTCACAGTCAGACCAATTTCGAGCATCGTTTATCCCAGCGAGAGACCCGCCCACTCAGTGCTAACCACCCCGAGCTCACACAAGCTAAAGCCCGCACTTCTGACGTAGCTTTCGGAAATTTAAACCCCAGCAGGCTAGACTCTAGTCTGGAAATCGCAGTCCCCGAAAATGCTTCAGGTGCCCTCTCACTGGTCAAGAAGCTTTTCCACTTACAGGGTCCCAGGGGTCCTTACTCAAAGCACATTTTGCTTCCGGTGCCTTCTTTGCGGAATCTCCTGACTGCTGAAGCGTGGCGAGGCAATTCCTGCTGTATGACGTGGCGAAGAGGTGACTTTGGCCAACTTGGAAGCCCGTGGAGGGAGCCTTCAGGGTTGACCGGTTCCGCTGTGCACGAATCTTCCCTGATCCCAGAAGTCCTGCAACCTGCCCAAAGCCGCCCTTGCCGTCAAGCAACCTATGCCATCACACCAACCCGAAGCTTGAATCTTGAAGCTCGACATACTCGCTAAAGTTCTACACACCCTGAAGCTCTGAAGCCCCATCCATGTTCCCGAACGAGGCCCTGAGGTAGAAGTGTGTGTAGGTTTGTTGGGAGAAGTACGTTCTTTTAGTCAAGGGGGGCTGTGGGGTCTGCAGGGTTCCAGACAGTCGGATATTAGGACTAAGGCTTCTGCTGAAGGTTTCAGGCTTTAGGGTTGAGAAGTTGTTTGTCTTATCGGCTTCTGCATGGTTTGATTCGGCTACTGGGTTTGATGGGATGTCATGGGAGATGTTATGGGACGGTTGATGATATAAATCCTGCGTGACCCATAATAAGGAATAGACCATAATCCCCATTGTTTAGGGTCCTTAAGGTAATGCAGGATTTATATCATCCTAAACCCTAAACCCTAAACCCTAAACCCTTAAACCCCTAAACCCTAAACCCCTAAACCCTAAACCCTAAACCGTGTCATCAACAGGATGGGTTTTCAAAACATCGGCACTCCTTCACTCGGAACGCTTCCAGCCCCCGCCGAACTTCCTTGACGAACCGAGGATTTTTGGGGTGACTCATGGGGATCTCTCCCAGCTGCTCGGCTGTTTAATATAGGGGTTTCCGAAAACAGGGGTACCTTATTTTGAGGTCCTTATAAGGATCCTAGTAAATAGGGTACTATATTAGGGTCCCCTATTGTCGAGAAGTCCCATATAGGGGCCGAAATAATTACCTATACTATTCTTGGGGGCTCATTACTTTTATTGGAGTATAATGGGCCCCAGAACCCTATTCTAAATGGTAAGGCCCCTTTATTAGGATTGTGTGGATTGTAGGATTCAGGGTTTCGGGTTTAGGGTCTCTAGGACCTGGAGTAGGCCCGTTTTTCCCTTTTTTAGGGTTCACGTTCCCTCATATGCCCCTTCAAACCAAAAAGGGCGCCCTTTTTATATTCCTGGGTTACTCTTGGGTCTAGGGGTTCATAGTTATGAGTTCAAGGAGCTTATTCCTAGGTTACTCTTGGGTCTAGGGGCTCAAAGTTGTGAGTTCAAGGAGCTTGGGGCCTGTTTGGGGTTTAGGGTTCGTGGCACCGATTTCGTTCAGGTGTCGATCGAGAATGGAAATAGATCTTGCTTGCGCGTTGGAAATGTTCATGGTTCTTTGGGATCTTTCACTTTTGAACATGTGCCGTAGAAGTTTCAATCTCTTGCAAGCTTTCTGGTGGTTCAACCCGCTCAACCCCATGAGCCCTAACCTCCGCAACTTAGGTGCGGCCGACATTGACTAACAGACCCATAGCCTGACACATTATGTTCATGGCTCGGCTGCTTGAGCAACGAAAATCTCAAAGCGCCCTACACCCCTCAAGCCTGAACCTTAAATCCTGAAACGTATCCCAGGCTTAGGAACATGACCTGGGTGGCGTGTTGGATTTTCCAGCCCGGGTTTCCGGACTACTCTGCTGCCAAGGACTGCCGACGCTCTCTCGACGGCATTACGCAACGATCAGGCCCGACGGAACACGGCAGCTGATTGCTTAGGGCTTTGGGCTGCAGGCCTGAGCCTAGACCTTGCTGCATGCACCCAGACAGGAGGCCCCGGACATTCACTTCAGTCTCAAGTCTCAAGTCCTCTGCAACATCACACGCCCCGCTTGAAGTTCGCGAAATAAAGACCCTAAGCCGACCCTTGCTGGTGCTCGTAGCAACACCTAGCGTGTCAAGCTGTTCAACAGGCGGTTCGTTACTATTGACTATAATCATCCTGGAACTCAGACGCAATCCGCGGAGGTCTTCCAGCCATCACAGCCCGGTCTCGCAGGCACCGTCTTCGATGGGGTCGGGGTAGGAAGCGGCTGGCAGCTGGTTTTAGATTCCAAAAGGAGGCCCCCTGCATAAGTGTCATTTGCACGGCATGGTTCCTTCCCAGAAGTAGTTATAGCAGTTATCTCAATACGAACTTAAGACCCTTCTGGTGGACTTCTGTTTTGATCGCGCATTATTATGTGTTTTGTTTTTTTGTAAGGGGGGTCTTGAGCTTTGAGATGTGAGGGTCTTGATTCCCGTTCTTGCAAGATGGCATGGACCGGCGGAGCAATTGTATCAATGTCATGATTCTTGGAGCTACTTTCATTCTTGTGAATTGGAGTTCTTGGCTGAAGCAGTGGGGTTAGGGTGTGCGTAGTAGGGTTCGGGGACGTAAACAGCAGTGTCAGTGTTACGGCCAGGGTGCCCTAGAGAAGCTCTAATGTAAGCTCCAATAGTGCCAATGTCGTTCAGCTACTCCTGCCTAGTTTCACGCTCTGCCAAGCCTGGCAAAACCAAGGATAAACTTCCATTGCCGAGTCTGTGAGATCCCACATGCCGTATACAAGTAAAGAAGGAGACTTACATTCCTAATGTCATCCGTGGAGTCATTATGTCATAACGAGTCTCGGACGACATACGTATGGCCATATGTATCCCCAAGCCCTGTTGAAGTTGCCCGGATGAGCCAACCCTAAACCCTAAACCCCGAAACCCTTAACCCCACAACCCTAAACCCCTAAACCCTAAACCCTAAACCCCTAAACCCTAAACCCCTAAACCCTAAACCCTATCATGCTAAGGCGGCCCCCGCCCGCGAACTGTGTCTGCGACATCGCGAAGGCTACGAGTGTGGGATGGAGACTTGTGGTGGCATGGGGCTAAACCCTTCTAAGTGGGCTTGCCTGCGGATCCGAAGAATACGGTAACTTGTCGGATGCGAAGTTTAGACAGGTGCAAAAGTGCAGGGTTTGCTTGAAGGAGGGTGCAAGCTTGTTTGCAGGTTCTGAGCCGGGTCTCTATTCAGCCTACTGGTAATGCTCATTGTGGAGCCCTTGTATCGCAAACTCACATTTCTCGCAGATGCGACCGCGGGCTCCATATTTCAGGTCAAGGGCTGCCCTTATTCAATCAAACTGAGATTCCCGACAGAACCCTCGGAGGTCTAATTAACAGTGGCTTGCCCCCAAAGCTCCGAGCCCGAGCACAAACAGGTTTGTCCATGGCAGACTGCGACCGCCCGTCCTCGTTGGAAGAAGTTGGCTTCGGAGAATCCGATGCCGCTTTCTCAGCGAGAGGCCGTGAGGCTGGGGTGCACGGTTCAAGGTGCAGCCTGACACTTCCACTTCTCCTTGTCACCCTGAACACCCCATCATCATCAGCATCTGACAGTAGATTGCATCCGTTTCTACAGCAAGACCGGTATGTCGTCGCCAACATCGTCATTTCCCATGACCAGAGCCATCCCCGTCAGCATCATTATGTTAACATCGTCATCATCATCAGCATCATCATCAGCAGCAGCAGTAGAAAAACACGAATTGGAGGAAGAAGAAGAAGAAGCAGGAAGGGAGCCTTTCATTGTTGAAGCTTGTTGCTGTGGTTCTTCGTTCTGGCGCAGATTTGTGGTTGCTCTGATGGTTTCCGTTTTTGCTAGTCCTGCTGTCGTGCATACTTTCGCATTTGTCACACAAGACTTAATGAATAAAGCCCGTTGTCGATTGTGGGAATAGCAGCAGCAGCACCCGTAGTAGAAGCAAGAAGTCGTCGTGGTAGAGCAGCAATAGTAGTAGTAGTCGTCGTCGTCGTAGTAGTAGTCGTAGTAGTAGTGGTCGTAGTACTACTCAGGAGAAGAAGAGGAGGACGAAGGGCAGTAGTCTTCGTTGCACAAAGCCCAAAACTCAAATCCAGCTCGGTGCCCCGAGCCCCTAAACCCTACTTGAAGGCTCATGGGACTTAGTAGGGCTTAGGGGTCCCTTTTACAGGGACTTAGTAAGGTTACATGTAGGTTATAATTAGGATAGCCCCACTAGGGGGACTTATAACCCCAATTATAACCTTCTTACTAAGTCCCATGATCCTCAAAGTAAACGCCCTAAGCCAAACCCTTACAGTCCCCTTAGAAGGAACCCTTGCAGGAGCTTCAAACCCCAACGCGCCACAAACCCTGGTTTAGGTTCCCTTATAACCCCCTTTACCCCAAAAAGGGCACCCTTTTTATTCCTAGGTTACTCTTAGGTCTAGCTGATGTCCCCGGAACTTACCGGGATGGCTGCCTCTTGCAATGGAGTGCTCGGGCTTCCCCTCCGCAACTCCAGAGCGAGTGGTTTGAGGGTCCAGGTTTAGGGTACGGGGTAAAATCCGCCCTGAACCACACCAGAAAAGCCCTGACCCTGAAGCCCCGAAGCCGAAAACACCCTCAAACCCGGCCGGAAAACAATCCCAATCCCTACAACCACACAACCTCCCTGAAATAAGGACTAGGGTGACCCCAAAGAGGTGGGGAAACCACTCAAGCACAAACAAAAACTTTTAAACCCTTGAGCCACGTGTCACGTTGGTACACTTCTCGATGTACCTTAGTGTGTCATCCTTGCGCAGGGCGAGACAATGCCATGCGACCTGATTTGTGCGTGTCTTCTTACGCAGGGGCTTTGCTTGCAAGGCCCCGTGCCTCGCATAGGGTTTAGGGTTTAAGGGTTTAGGGTTTAGGGTTTAGGGTTTAGGGTTTAAGGGTTTAGGGGTTTAGGGTTTAGGGGTTTAAGGGTTTAGGGTTTAAGGGTTTAGGGTTTAATGGTTTAGGGTTTAGGGGAGCGAGTTTGGGTTCAGGGCATTGGGAAAGGTTTGAGGGCCGTTTTCATGTTTTGTTTAAGCTTAGCCTTAGCCTTAGCCATCAAAACGGGTTTGCTCGAAGGAGCGGGGAACTGGGCCAAAGTTTTGTATGTAGGGTTTCAAGGTGTAAGCAGGACATGCCAAAGACTGGTATCTAGTGACATTGCACTCGACCTACATGCCCATCGGAACGCGCACTGGAGCGGAAGGGTAAGCTGAGTGTCCCAATACCGTTAATATTGCGGAAAGAGTGCAGGGAATTCCCTGCGACATTCCGCCTGACACCGATTTCTTCTCGCCTGCCGAGTTGTGCAACTGGCAGGGGTAAACCTTACCTTTCGCGAGAGAGGTGGAGAGGCTCACGGTCATCAACGCTGGGCTTTATGATGCTCCCGTTCCCTGCCCGCCCTCAAAATCCCTAAACACCCAGGACCTAAACCATAGAAGGTGATGCACCCCATACGCCCCGTTTCGACCCTGCACCCCAATGCGAACCCTTGGAGCTTTGGCCTCCAGCCACTCCACATCTTGCGGGCAGTCCGTGGCAGCAGACCCTTGAGCTTTTCTCTGCTCTCAGCAGACCTTTTCGCCCGGGTCGGTGCGGAGTCGGAAAAATATGCCAGCTTGTTTACTCGGTTGGTTTCATGGAATTTCATTACAGCCTGCTGACGAGTATTGGCGTAGGCAGGACCAAGTAAAGCAGCCGCTGCCTCTTTAGCACTACCACTAAGAGCTTCATGACCTGTGCGTGAGCCATGAAACTCAATATCATGATCGTCATCATGTTGATGCGCCTTGCTATCGCCATAGTGACGGATGGATGGTCAGGTTGTTCATCACATCTTCGATGAGTCGAAGAAGCATGGGGTAGGACATCAGACGACCCCCTCCCTGCACTGCATGCTCCTGGGCCCCCAAAACAGGGAACCCCACAATCTAATGTGATACATGTTCATGCCGATACCGTGCAATTCACATCCCTCGGCAATGTAATTGCGGCCGCGGCCGCAGTGCAGTCCTACTCTTACTGAAAGATACTTCTGCGCAGAGAAGACGACCACTGGCACTGTGGCAGCGATGCTGATACTTGCAATGACGACGACGAGGAGGATGATGGTGGCGATGATGCTGAGCATGATCATGATGGTGATGACGATGATAATGGTGAAGCTGAAGGTGATGGTGATGATGATTGTCATGGCGATGCTGATGCTGATGGTAGTCCTGATGCAGATGCTGATGGTGATGATGACAACGGCGATGATGGTGATGATGGCGGTTGTGCTGGTGACGACGATGATGATGGTGACGGTGGCTATGGTGATGGTGGTGGTGATGGTGATTCGTTACGGGAATTCGTCGCGACTGCCACGATGTTCTTCATGCAGCTTATGCTGTTGTTCGTGTCTTGCTCCGGATGAGGTGGCTGGCGATGAAGATAATGGAGAAGATGAAACTAGCTACCGAAGATGTTGCGCGCTCGAATCCTTGCTGCATGTTATATACACACTTTATGGCAAAGTGCGGTCAAGTGAAGTTCTCGCGGGCAACCTCCTGTTCACAGCCGCGTGCGCTTCAGGCAGCCAGACATAGACTCCACATGCTCGAAATTCACAGCACAGAACCGTCGACTCAATAGCTGTCCGAACCATAATGCGGTTTAGGGTTTAAGGTGCAGGCCCTAAGCTCTGAGATCTTCAAGCACAAGGCGACAGCCACAAACCTGACGCTGCGCTCCATTCGCAGCTGGCAGACTCGCGCGATTGTGCAGAGGTGTCTCGTATAAGGGAATCCACCGAAAAGCGCTGCAGACGGGGACCCCGGACAATTTACCCAGCAAAGTGTTGTCAGGGCTCTTGCTTAAAGGGCTTTGGGATTCACCATTTATTCGGGTTCAATGTTCGAGGTTTTCTGGTATATAATATAGTAAGTAGTGTGACTGGTAGGGCAGGGGTACTCCTCACAGCATGCATGTCTTGCTGCAGTTAGCATTTTCTCAATCGCACTCCTAGCTGCATCTCGCCATGAACCACCCCCCCTCTCAAACGAAAACAAAGGTTCAGCGCCACTTCCGAAGTTTGATCTAAGCAGAGCTGAGCTGCGCCCCGAAGCCGAGTCCTAGCTGGAGGCACGACTCCTCCGCAGAGCACACCTAGGGCCCCGATTCAGGATACCGCCGGCAGCTGTTGCTCCTGCTGCTTGATGATCAAGAAAGATCTTTCGGGTCGTCTGAGTAGCACCACGATAGCAGCTACAGTTGAACCAAGGCTCTCTCGTAGTTCAGCACAATTCCATCACCAGGTCGTACGGAAAGGCGGGATGCAAGTTCAGGATGTAACTTCTGTTGGACTCCTTCAAACGTCTCAGAGTTGACAGCCGCGCTCTGCTCAGCTCGCGTTCACCGCCCTCCAACTCTGGAGAAACAGTCATCGGGGTTGCAGATTGTGTACTGCGTATATCAACGGTATTGTGATTTCGACGATCAAACTGAACCACATCCCAGAGTCTCAAGTTTGTCAGCTCCCGAAGTTTCGACATACCCGGCCTGCAGGTGTCTTCATCACCAATGCTGCAGGATACTGCAAGGCTCGCTTCTTCAGGGTCTACTAGGAGGTTCATGGGTAGTTATAAGTGGGGTTATAAGTCTCACTTAATATGGGTTATGAGTATAGTTTCCCTACTTATAACCCACTTGTAACTAGCCATGAACCTCCAAGTAGTGAGTAAGGGCAGTACGAAGCAGAGGAATTTGGCTGGTCATGGTATCAGAAAGTTCAAGGCCTTTAGCGTCGCAAGGGGCTTCGGTAGGATCTTTGGAGCATCCAGGCAAAGCTTTCGAAGTTTGTAGTGTGGGGGCCTTAAAAATTAGATCAAAGGGACCCCCCAAAACCCTGTTCTAATTGTTAAGTTAAGGCCCCTGCTTGAATGATGTTGTGCTGGGATTGCAGCAGCACGGGCAGAAGCTTGCGAATGCACAATGAGTCGAGCAGCAGCAGTAGAAATCGTCGTGGTAGGAGCAGCAGGCGAAGTGGTCCCAACAGAGTAACATTAAGGGCGTTACAGCAGAAGAGGGGTGTTGGTAGTAGAGCGGTACAGCGGTGCAGTAACTCCTTTAATTGTGCTGGTGTTCTTGCTCGCCGTGGCCACTGTTCATGGGCATAAGCTCCTTCTATATGGGAGTTTCCGAAAATAGGGGACCCGAATATAGGCCCCCAAAATCGTAGGATCCTCATTATAATATGGACCCCTAAATAAGGTAACCCTATTTTCGGAAACTCCCATATAAACCCTAGCCCGTTCTTGTCGAACTGTTAGCATCTGAGGATCCTTAGGCTTTAGGACTTGGGCACCCCCTTCGGAGATCGCAGCCATGCCGAAGCAAGCACCGCTGTGCGAGGTATCTGAACAGCAGGTATGGAAGCAAATGAAGCATCAGGAAGCTGTCGCAAGGATAGGGGTTGTAGAGTTAGACCCTTTTGGGACGTTGGGGTTTGCGCACATCACGCAGTCGTGAAGGCAGGACGCGTGTGGCGGAAAGTTTTGAATTAGGGTCGCAGGTGCCCCGCTCACATGTGTTCTTGACAATCTTCACGATTCTGGCTTTTGTGTTGTGGGCCCCACTTCACGGTACAGTCTTTCGTGTTTTGGGCAAACAACCCTAAAGCCTAAACCCCTAAACCCTAACTCCTAAACCCTCTGATGAAGAAGGAGATGGCAGGGGACCTTTAGTGTAGTCCTCTTACGAGGGAGACCTGTCGCTGCGGAGAAAGGTCATTGCTTTAAAAAACGCCCCGACCCTCAACCCCCCCCTAAACCCTAAACCCTATAAACCCTAAACCCTATAAACCCTAAACCCTATAAACCCTAAACCCTATAAACCCTAAACCCAAAAGCCTCAAAGCCGTGGAGTCAGAAAGGTCGCTCTCGCCGCTTGAACGCACCTCCTCGTCCGTTTCCTCTCAGACTAAGGCCTGGAGCTTAGTTATTCCCTCTGTGGCTGGGTTAGGGTTTAGGCTCTAGGGTTTAGGGTTAGGGTTAGGGTTTAGGGTTAGGGTTTAGGGTTTAGGGTTTAGGGTTAGGGTTTAGGGTTTAGGGTTTAGGGTTTAGGCTTGGGTTCAGGATGCAGGCTTTAGGGTTTAGGGTATTTAAACCGCAATCAGTGAAATTGGCGAAATCCGTAGAATGAAGATGACGGCACTGAGACTCAATACGATCTTGCGAGGCTGAGGCTTAGCCTTGCAAGATCGCTAAGGCTAATAATATGGGAGTTTCCGAAAATTCGGGCTACCTTATTTTGGTGCCCTTGTAATAAGGATTCTACTATTTAGGGTACTATATTACGGTCCCCTATTTTCGGAAACTCCCATATGATAATACAAGCATCTACTGTCTTCAGTGTAACCCTAAATCCTAAGCCCTAAAGCGATTTCAGCTTGAGCTTTGGCATCCTTTTCCCATCCGAGGATAGCAAGAATGCTGCTACTTCCGAGAGCGGGGTTCAAGGCTTGTGATATGAAGGACGACAGCAAACTGCAGTCAACGCCGTGGTGGCAACCATAACAATGGTAGAGGCAGCGCTCAGTGCTCATAGTCGTATTCAACGTTTTTGGTGTCTAGTCCCTTTTCGATTCATTGTGTTTGTGCGAGCTCGCATTCTGGGTTGTGCTTTGGGATAATGTTTAATTTCCCTTATTTCCTTATACAGGGAACCTATTCATAATTTTCGAAGGGTTTAAAGCACAACCCAGCATTCCCTAAACCCTAAACCCCTAAACCCCAAACCCTGAACCCGAAACCCCTGATTCATGGTGTTCGTACGAGCTCCCATTTCGACGGGCACCTCCAAGTGAAGCGCAATGCAGCGAAGCTTGAGGCCTCGAGCTGCTCGAACATCACCGAGGACTGCGCCACCTTCGGGGTAGAGACTAACGGCTTCCGGGGGGTTTAGGATTTAGGGTTTAGGGGTTTATAGGGCTTAGGGACCCTACACGTCAATTAATTTAGGTTACCACAATAAACACCATATTATGTACTATAGATCCCTACTTGATGGTTCGGGTTCCAGGGAGCCTCTTTTCAGAGGAAGCGGTCCGAGGTATTTTTCGATCCCGAAACCTCAGATCTCACAGCTCTGAAAGCTTCCAAAGCCCTACATTGAGCTGCGTCTCTTAGGAAGGCTTTGCCGCAAGGAACGCTGCGTGACACTCCTACACTCCTGATGCTGAACCCTACCTTAAGCCGGAATAACCTAGCTTTTTAGGGCTCCTTATTATGATTTTCTTATATAAGTCCTTAAAAAGGTAGGTTCTTCCGGCTCAAGGTAGCCAGAATCCTCACTTCCCCGAAGGCCCCGAAGCCCTAAACCCGAACCTTACGGCCGATGCCCCCTCGGGAAGAGGTTACCCGTGTTTTGCGCAATGAGACTTAGCAACCAGGGCCCTAAACCCTGCCCTACCCTCCAGGACTCAACGTGCTGCAGCCAGACCTCGGGCGACTCGCCGGCTCAGGACATGAAATCGTGCTGCCATGGTACGATGTAAAACAGATTTTCATCATTAATATAATATCATGTGTACACTATACTATGTAGAATGATGTACTATATTAAATACGATCAATGTAGGTGGGATTGTAAAGGCTTGGCCGGTAGATCTGTGAATTCTAAACTCTACACCTTACACCTATATGGAAAACAGGCCCTTAAAGGAGAAACAAAAACTATTCCCGTGTTTTTCCACCCTGAAGGAGAAGGGTCGGAGACAGCACGGCCAAAGCCCTGGTCCTCTTTCGGCTAGCAGCGGCGTTCGGGCAAAACGAACTATTCAGGGTCTTGGCTTGTATAAACTGAGGGCTCGAGATTTATCATTGAGGGTCCTGGCTTGTACTGTTTCGGGTTTAGGGTTGTAGTCATGTCCGGATTTGGTCGTTTGGAATTCGCGGGCTTTAATGGTTTCTGTATGGCTTTCTGGCTTCACATGGACCGATCTGCCCTAGAAACCGACTCCCGACCAGGCCCCGAGATCCTGAGACTTTGGGGCCTAGGTTGAAAGGCACAGGATGACCTCTGAGACTACATTGCTGTAAGAGTTATCGCATTACTGTAAGGGTTCCCAATAACCCGTATATATCGCGGTGAGAGTTACTGCAACACTGTCGCTGCATGGGGTCAGGAGTCGAAGATCGGTACTCGTGTGCAGAACCACTCGCTCTGCAAGCTAAGGGTTTAGGGGCCAAATCTTTAGGGCTCCGGGTTTGGGCGGGACTGCTGTCTGCTTCAGTTTCAGTCAGGATAGTATAGCAGGTCTTTCCCGAGTTCTGTAGAAGACAGCTCGAGAGCTTCTTCTGAAGGCAGATTTGGGATTTTAAATTCTAATCTTCTAGGTGGGGTCAGAGCCACACCCTTGTCTCAAAACCCCACAACACTCGACTTTACCAAGTCGCCGCTCACACACCAAAGCCACGCAGATGTGGATCGGAAAAGAAGACACAGCGCGGCATATTGCCCTAAGGCTCAGGCTTTACAAGTCGAAAGCGGAACATCCCGAACCTGCAGGAGGACAGGGTTTGGGGGTGATGGGTTTGGGATGGTCGGTTTCAGGTTTTAAGACGCGAAATCCGGAGAGATGGCTTTCGGGTTTGGGCTTCGAGTTAGTGGTTTGGAGACTTGTGTCTTACTTTGGTATAGAAACGTACGGGCCTTAATTATTACCTATGCTTTTCTTGTTTTTGTGAAGGGGGGGTGCTTTTTTTCTTGTGGGGGGGGGGTCCTTATTATAAAAGTATAATGGGCGCCAAAACCCTATTCTAATTATTAAGGCCGCTATAGTATCGAACTTAAAGACCCAAATTATAGGGCCTTGGGCTTTAGGATTTGGTGCTTCGGGCTTCACAGGGTGAAGGCAAACGGTCTCAACACAACATAAAGGACCAATTACGAACATGCTTGTAACAATAGTACTTGATTACAATACGTATTGTAACTCGTAGACTAATAGCAAACTTCATCAACATCATTGTAGAATAAAAGGACCAAGGCCTTAGGAGTTCAGCTACGTGGGGCCAAGGCTACAGAAGGAGGCGACTGGCTCAATCAGGAACTCTGTGGAAAACCTTGCCATGTTCGTTTACAGGGTTCCTGATAGCCCTTTCGGGTTTAGGGTCCCCTTGTTTAACTCGTTTACCGGGTTCCTGATAGCCCTTTTGGGTTTAGGGTCCCCTTGTTCAACTCGTTTACAGGGTTCCTGATGGCCCTTTTGGGTTTAGGGTCCCCTTGTTTAACCTGAATATTCGGAAACAGGATGCCCATACCATAAAGGGGCTACTCAGGAACCTATTTGAGGGTTTACCTGGAGCCTAAAGAACCTACCGTTTGAGGGCTCCTTACTATGACGTCCATGATTTACAAACGCCCTGAAAAAGGTTGGTTATTTGGCGTTAAGGCGGGGTTTATAGTATAAACCCAACGGATGATCTGGGCACGTATGATATTTATGTTGGGTAGAATAGGTGCTTTTGGTAACGGTGGCCTAGGCCCTAGATCCTCCAGCGGGTCGGTGCCTTCTATCTTGAAACTGCTAGTGGTAGACCTTTCCCAACTCCGAGCCGTTCCCAACATGCAATATCTAGAAGCCTATGCCATAAGACCTGCATGACCATCAATTCTATCCTCTGACTTAGAAAAGTCCGCAAAAACTGCAGCCCCCGAAAAAGACCTGTCATTCTTGAGCGTTCAGCGGGGTTAGCTTTTAGAGCTCAGTGTTTCGGGTTTCGGAGCCTTTGGATAGGGCAATGCAGCATTGCTGTGCTTTGTCTTGGTTTGGGTTTGGGAATGGCTTGCAAGCATTGGTAGTTCATTTTGGTGCTTGTTTATACTTCTACATGTTTTTGACGTACTGGCACTGCGTGTAGCTGCTCAGGGACCTTCGGAATTTCGGTAGCTCTGACACTCGTTGTTGCCTTTTTGGGGGCTTACAGGCCTGGCATGAACCCCAGCATCTGAGTGCCTGCTAGATTCTACAGTTGAGGGTTTAGAGTTCATCGTTTAGTTTTAGGGTTTAGAGTATAGGGTTTCGTATTAAGGGCTTAGGCTCTGCTTTAGGGCACAGGTATGGAGTGGAGGGAGCGGGAGCAAAGTGGAACCGAGTTTCAGAGAGACTCTGAGTGCCACTGTCCAGGACAGGATACCGCCGTCTCTTGGACCCTGAATAAGATGAACCTGGGTTTGGAGTACCATACTTGGATACTTGTTTTGGTACCTGTTCCTTAAAGGAACCATTGTGGAATGAACGTCTATATTTTTTCTCCCTGGCTACTTGAAAAGTCCAGTGAAAGTCTAGGCTTCAGGGAGAGTTGGGCCGGCTGCCGATGGTGGGCTTGTCTAGTTCTTCACTTCCAGGTTTCTTACTGCTTAAGAATTCGAACAGGGTTCGTGGACCTTTGGGAGTTTCCGAGAATTAGGGGTACCTTATTTTGGGGTCCTTACAATAAGGATCCTACTCTCTGAGGTACTCTATTCGGGTCCCCCATTTTCGGAAGCCCCCATATGAAATCAAGGAGCTGTGAGACTGTGAGGAATACTCTGAATGGAATTCGGATTGGGGTGCCTGGGCTTCTTCGTGTTTTACCGGCCCCGCTGGATCCTTCTGACCCAGGCTGGGATGTAGGGTTGGGGCTTTACCACTCGGGATCTCGCTTTTGGGGATTTGGTTGTAGGGCTAAGGGTTTGGGATTCAGAGCTTTGGGGGATTTGGGACTTCGGGGTTACTGATCACTGGGTTTAGCATTTGAGCTGTTGACTTCTGGGTGTGGCTATGAGTGATGTTCGGGCATGTCAGAAACTGTACGTACGGCTCAATACCGAAAGCCTAAACATTGAGCTTCCGCTCCAAGACTGCGCAACCTTGCAACAGCCATTACTGGGTAGCATTAGGGAGACCCCTTCAAAGGGGATCCTTCGTAACCCTATATACTTCTGGTTCCACCAATCCTAACTCCTAGCCAAACGGATACGGACAATGCGCAACCAGAGTTTAAACCGTAACCCATACACTGACCGTGGCAACCCAAAGCCTTCAGAGCTCTTATGAAGCCACATAATCACATGAAGACTGAACCAGATAGACACCCTATGATTAAGCCCTGTAACACCTGACCACTCTCTTACATTATATGATCGTTTGATATAGCCCCTAAAGCCTAAACCTTACATTACTGCACGACCCTGGTACAGCTTGTACTCTGAGGTATCCATTCCCGGCAGATTTTGAGTTGCCCTTCGGTCAGGATGAGCGGGTCAATGCCCACTGCCTCAGAGTTTCGGGCTTTGGGACACATGCTTCGAAGAAAGGTTTCGAGGTGCCAAATTTAGGGGCCCTGAAGAATGATTCAATTCTTGAGACGTCTAGAGTCCAGTGCATTGTGGAGCTTGGGAATTGGAATTCGGTTTCTGCGTTTCCGGCAAGATGCCGAGCGATATTGCTGGGTGATGCTGGGTGCATCGGTTCAAGCGTCCGCGTGGATAATTATGTGCTTTGCCCTCGAAAGGCTTCGCATGATGCAGCTGTCGGCCATCGTATTCAGAACTTCCTCCGGTTTTAAACATCCTACGCAGCAAAGTGTCGATCCCTTACCCCTCCCCTTCGGTCCCATTTGGAATGAGGACGTGGAGACTTTCCATCGTCGATCCTCAGCTCTCCCAGTATTGTGACTCCCGGCCTGAACCTAGCAGTTTGAGGTCCATGGCTTCGAGGTTCGGCGTTATGGGTGCAGTCGACATAGGAGTCTGCTATCTAGTAAGATTGGGGGATAGCCATCGTGGTGCCATGGCGCGGATCCCCACCCTTTGGGCCATGACTGCTCTTCTGGCCTTCCTGCACTCGCAGACATTCTGCACCCACCCGGTTTGGCAACACTTCCCCGGGGCCAGTCAGCGAAACAGAGGCACCGTTCCCTGTCGGGCCTATGAGCCACATGTTCCACCAGCCGACAGACTCGCCAACGTCTGGGACCTGCCCGCGGGAAAGTTTGAAGAAATGGCAAATGCCGTCACTGCCTCCAAGACCAAACTGCCCGAATGGTTTACAGATGAAATCCGGGAAGCTGCCGCAGCAGCTGGAATCGCGAAGATTTCGGAGATCTCACTTGCTGGTTCGGAACTTACGAGAACTGCCATCATGTTTTCATCAGATTTGGACGTAAATGTCGACACCGTGGAGTGTGTAACGCGATCTCAACGAAGCAAGTTCAAGGACTTCTTGGTCAACTCAATCGTCGGGCGGTTTCGAAATTGGGAATTTGAGCATATGGGAAAGAAGTGCATTGTTCTCATCCAGACGAACGCCCAGGAGAATACTCGGGTGGATATTGCCTTCGTCAACACGTGCTTTGACGCCGGCATCATTGACCGCGGAGAGAACGTGGCCTTTTTCCGAAGCAACGAAGCCGCGCAGCAAGCCGTCAGGATGTTCAAGCTTGCCTTCCTTGATATGTCCGGGCTGTGTGGCTTCCACATAGAAAGGCTCGCAATGGAGTTGTGCACAACGGCCGGGAAGCAGCTGAAAAGTAGAGACCTGTGGATACGCATGCTACGGGAAGTGTGGAAGCTGGGGCCGAGCTTGCGTCTGGTCATGAAAGAGGCCTTGCTAGAAGTTGAGGATGACCAGAAGGATGTACGGGATGCGCAGCTTCATGCCCAAGTTACACGAATGCGGAACGTCGTGAACGATGCTGGGGTTTTCGGAGCCGAAGCAATGCACCCCTTGAGCGCTTGACGCGTCGGTGCACTCCGTACCAAAAAAGTGCACTCAGTAAGTGCCGTGCTGGAGGCAGCTGTCATAGCCATAGCAGCAAAGATGAAATGGGGGGGCGGGGTTGGGGAAACGCCGCGTGGCCCTTCCGGGTTTCCGGCTTCAGGGTTTCGATTTCGGGTTCCATCCTGGGAAGTGCGCTTGCTCCCGTGGACTACCTGGAGCCTGTGGTCGCGGGCAGTGTCAATCGACACAGTCTATATGTGTACATACCTATGTGGCTATGTGTGTATGGAGGAGAAACACGCACACACACACAAACACAAACACAAACCTGCCTGCCTGCCTGCCTGCCTGCCTCCCGGCCTGCCTGCCCACCCACGTCCCCACGTGCTCTCCTGGCTGCCTGCATGCTTCCTTGCATGCATGTATACATACTAATGCACCATACAGACATGCAATACACCCCAAACCCTGGAACAGAGACGCTCAAGCTCAGACCTCCAAGCTGTGGTCTTCTGCTGTCGATAGCAAGTTGAAACACGTAGAAGTCCGCACACGACAAATTTCGTCTAGCCTATTCTAGCCTCCTTAACAGTGATCGGGCGATTCTTCGGCGGTTGAGCCTTGACACAGCATGTATAAAATGGGTGGTGTCTTGATCGTTCTGCTTGTGAGCTGCTTCGATTTTGTTGACGCCCAGGTGATCTCGCAGTTGTGCGACTCACCGGGAGGTGCGCTTTCGAGGTCGTTCTGTCATTGGGACTCTTTCTTGAACCCAAAGAAACAAGTGCAAAGTACCCGTGCCTAGATTCTACACAGCGCTACGGCTGGATGAAACTGCAGTGACACGAGGACGGATAGCGCTTGGGGGGATGAAGGTGTAAGGGATGCCGCGCTGGGCCTGAAGATAGGTCAAACAGGTGTGATATCCAGAACGATGGTGAAAGCTGCATCCAGAGAACGGGACGGGTGATATGATTGCTAAGAGTTGCATTCGTTACTGCAGTCTGAGGCCTTATTCAAGCCGACATAAACGAACGGCGAAATTTCAGAAATTCCCGAAGCACTCCCTAGCACTCTTCACCCCCGTACTCCGTACTGACCGTACAGTTACCTGTGCTCGAATTTATGACGTCATTGAAGCTGGATCGTTGAGCCGAGAAGCCTGAAATTCAACCCTGAAACCTTGAGGCCCATCAACGATTGCTGTGCTCCTACCCGGAGTGCACGGTGGAGTTGGCCCGCCATGGACTTGGTAACTGTTGTGTATGGGGTTACAGGGCGTGGAGTTTCCGGTTTCGGCTTCGTGTGGCGTTTCAGGCTCAATGTTTCGGGCTCTTGCAAGGTAGATAGACTGTTGTCGCTGCCATCACTAAGGCGTACTTTTCTTTGCAGGACTTCAAATTTTCGAACCTTGATGATTTGGGCTTCAGTTTGGGGTTCAGAAAATATGAGAAGGTTGGGAACCCTTCGACATCCCTCAGCCGCCTGAGATGCGAGTAACAAGACTGTCCTGTCTCGTTTCGTGGCTTTTTCTGTGGGTTCTGATCCGGTATTCATTTCCGTATGCACGATCGTCTACTTCTCCCTCGCCCCTAAGATGGACCCCAAGCTCGGAACACTAAAGCCCCGGAATCCTTAAGGCCCCATGTACGTATACATACATTACATGTATACACATATGGACATAAGTACCTGAGACATACGTGAACGATAGCATATAAAGTCCATGTGGAGACACGAAATGTACGTGTGCATGCAATATACATATATATATATATATATATATATATAGATATGTACATATATGTATTTACATGCTTGCTTACATGGATATGTGCATGCACGCACGTCTCTGCGCAAGCGTGTGTATGTCTATAATATGTGTGTGCATGTGTATATATATATATATATGTATATGTATATGAGATGTGTGTGTGTGTGTGTGTTTGTGATTACATGTGCGTGCGTGGCTATGTATCGAGTCAGACGAGGTTGTCTATAACATAATTGTTTCGAATGGTGTTGGCTGAAAGGTCTTTTTTGAGTTTGCTATTATGATAAATGTTGGTCACGCAAGTCATCCAGCTTTTCCGAATCGAGCGAAAGAATGAAGGAGAAGGGGCTGACGGTCCCACGTATCCAAGCCCTGACCTCCAGCCTTTCTCAGCCCAATACCCCCGACATCGTTGAAACGCCCAAAGCGAAGCTGCAGGTGCCGCGAGCCGGGGAGCAACTTTGACGAGAACTGTTTGTATGCCATGGTGGCTCAAAGGCCACGTGCTCGGGTTGAAGAAGCTCAGCAAAGAAGGTCCGGAGATATGGTGATAGTTCACACGTATTTGTAATTACTTCAATGCACAAGAAGCCCTGTTCTAAATATCAGTGCACATTGGATTAGCGAGGTGTTCTTGTGCTCAGGGTAGCTGAGTGCCCCGAGCCCCAAGATCTGAGCTGTCAGCAATCGAATCTCCTGAGCCTGGTACCCTGCTTTCAGGCTCTCAGGGCCCTACAATTCCAACACCGACGCTGTTGTTTTCGCACTCTGGTTTAAGGGTGCAGTGGCTTGAGGATGGAAGGATGAGGTGTAGGATGGTGTAGGGTTTACAAAAGCCTAAAACAATGTTCAAGAATGTCGGCCCCGGGCATACGCGACGCTGCAGACATCTCATGCACAGTCTCATGTCAAACGTCACCTACCCCCAGCCATGTTCAGAAAAGTGTAATCAAGGCTGTTCTACTTATCCTGACACCTCTGAAACCCTGCAAGATCCAACGACATCAGGTACAAGCCTCATCATAATCATGAGAATTGTAGCATGCCCCGACGTTGGAAGTTGAACAGTAACCCTTGAAAGTAAATGCATGTAGACCGCTGGAGGCTTCAAGAGCTGGGTCGAGCCGTTGACGTGTACCGTTGCTCCTGGCAGTTTATGTCGGCCTTGCACGTTTAGTGAAGGAACCCACTTCGAAAAAGTGCCCGCTTCCATTTTCGCCAACAGGGATTCGTCACCGGGCGCATCAGCCCTGCGTGCTGAGATTTCGAGTTCGCTTGTGGCTTTCGTAGGCCTCGCTCCACCAACTGCTGCATGTCCAAATAGACCCCCAAGCCCAATCCGTTACTGCTACTGACTGGAGAATCCGAAATTCATGATTCGGAAGCCGTGGCTACAAACGCTCATGGTTTGAAGTGCGACGCCGCGGTGGTGTGTCCACTTGTGCGAGGATCCCAAGACCCAGCGAATAGGGCCTCTTTTGTTTATATGTAATAACCAAAGCCAAAACCCTGGCAGAGCCTGACATTGCTCAACTCTGCACACGCCCTGCCCGCTGCACCTGAAACCTGAAGACCGAAAACAACATGAGGCCCGAACTTCCTTCCACTGCGCTGCTGTTCTTGTAAATGCCGTCACTTCGACATTGCTGTTTCACCGTCCTACCTCGTTTGAAGAAAATCGTCGTCGCAGTACAAACCATCTTCCTGTTCTGATCCGTCTTGCTTCTTGTCTATGCGTGTCATGATGATCAAGACGGTGATGGCAATTCTCTTGATGATGGTGACGGTGACGGTGGCGACGAGGCGGGTGAAAGCTGTGATGTGGCTAAGGCAATATAAACTCAACCAGTGTTCTGACAGCTGCTGTTGCGTTGCCGCAGCTTGAACTCGTGGAAAGTCCTTCTCTTGTAACGCGAGTGCGATCAGCAGACCTAGTGGCCTCACAGTTGTCATTATGGTGTCCATATGTTTCCCGCCTCCATAGTCCTCTGTCGAGATGGAAGCAGTCGGAACACAACTGTGATGAGTAGCCAGACGAGGAGCACGCAGAGAAGGACAAAAGAGGAGAGTGTCATGCTGCAGATGGACGAAATCGAGCATTCCTGAAAATGGTTAATGACGTTATAAGGACTGTATACTCATTGTGGCGATGCCGGAGCCTAATATCAACTTCGCCAGGTGCCCGACGATGACATACTCCCTCAACGCCGTCTGCCACGTTCTGCAACACGCACTCAAGCAGGCTTTGGGCGCTTGCCTTCGGGTCTGACTTGTGCGAAATTTGTGATTCAGATTAGTAGACTTCAAGCAGGGTTTGGATTGGGGCGGTTCGGGCTTGTGGTGGTAGGACGTGTAGTCTGAGGCACCGAGCATTCAGTCGCCTAAATACAACAAAGGGTACGCTAAGATGACATGGTGTGCGTAGTATGGGGAAGGTGCCTTCGGTGACTCTACTACGTTTTGTAGCAGCAATAGGACATTTAGATCCGCTTGTCTGGAAGTTAACTGGTTTCTGCTGGTGACGACGATGCTCATGGTAACAGGACTGACGTAATCCCTAGTAGCTGAGGGGATACACTTTACACTTTTGGGATAACATTACCCACAATAAAACTAAAAGTGTACACTTTTCGCGGCTCATGAACTCAGCAACTAAGAATCGGAAACAAGCCCCTTTGGCAGAGAAGGCGTTCGAAAGCATTCGTGCGATGTTCATTGACGAAGCTAGTGTTGCCATTGCCTGCTTGGTGCCCGGAATCCCGAGCCAAGTTGCCAAATGTAACGACTTGCTCAAGCGAATGTTTTTGCTCTGGCTTCTGTTACCATGCCATAGCTTCGGGAATTGGAGCTTTAACCCTAAACCCTTTAAGCTTCAACGAAACCTTAAAACTCCCACAGAAGCCCGCAGGCCAAGCCGATGCACTAGAAGCCTCGACCCGAAGTCGGAATTGTGCGCTTTGTATGTATATGTCATGTTATGCGTGTGTATATATCATGTATCTGTACATATGTATATATATGTATAGCGAGAAAAATATTCATACCCAGGTAAGTGTTAACTTCTAGACTTGTGACCAGAATACTATTGATCCATTTTCAATGGGTGGACGTTGTTATCAGATGCCTCTGCGCACCGCGAAATTCAGAGTTTCAAACTTGCGAATGCTGCTTTGGTCTCCGGTCTCGCGAACCAAAAGCACGAATTTCAGACAGCACACACACAGACGTGCAGATAAATCTCGGAATCCGGTGCTTGGTGGGGCTTCTGCTGCAGGCACAAAGAAGAGGGAGCCACGCGATCAACGTGGTCATTGTCGGCCATTCCTTAGGTGGCTAGTGCTTTCGTGTGCTGAGTCTCGATAGTGGGGTGCAGTCTCGCTAGATTTTGACAGGTATCATTGAAAGGTATCTAGATGTTCAGCTCGACCTTTTAAATCTAGGCTTGGCTTCTTCGTTGGTATGTGCACGGTTCAGAAAGCCCGTTGGCCAAGAGTTCTCATCTCATAGTTTATCAAGAGGTTTCCACTTGCCACTCCACGTTTCAATTCCCCACCTTCACCCTGCACAACATTAAATAACCAGGGCACCTCGGGCCGGAATTCGGGTAAGTCGAGACTCCAGGCCCAGTTCCTACACCGTACCCCAATTCATGTTGCTTTTGAAAAGGTTTGCTCTATCTCCATGTGTACATAGTTCCTTGCGTACCTGATGGAATCTTTGTACATGCACACACACACACACACACATGCAGATACAGCGACATATACATGTGCCGTGTGGAAGTTCGCATATGTGAGTCTGTGTGGGTGTGTGTGCGCATCTTCGCATGTATGTATTGACGTACATATGTGCGATATGTGGGCATATGCATATATATATATAGTCGCCATAGCAACGGCCGCAAAAGACTTCTACGGCGCGCAGCGGCAGGTGGCCAAGTCGCACTGCACTCGGCTGCGATGTTAGCTCGGCTCAAGGAAGAGAGCTGGGACCTCGGCAGGCTTTGTCTTCGTATCATACTATGTATGTTTAGAATATTTTCAGTAGTATCTATTGTAGGTATATGTGTTTATATATATGTGTATTTATATACACACAATTATACTTGGTGTCTCTCTCCCCCGACGTTATTTCAGTACGGCTTGAGGGGCCGGTGTTGAGGAATGAGGATGCTCGAAGTGGTAGGGGGGTTGTGCAGCAAGATTGGCTCTTGATGGCCATGAGGGGGAAGGCTCCACCTCAATGCTGATTCGGGATCGCGGCGCATGATATTGAAGCTTCCCTTCGATACACTCGCTGTGACCTCCAACCATCCAGTGAACTTTGTAGACCTGCGCCACCCAAACCCGCCAATCCGAAACCCAAGCCCACGCACCCTTGGAAATCCTGAACAGTTGAAGCGCCTAGACACGAGACCATGCAGGGAACAGACAGACGAAAAATGCAGACACACTCTCACACCCACGCAACGCAGAAAATGAGCACCATCTAGCTCAGGCCATCTTTTCCTCGAGAAGGGTGAAAGCAGCATGGAAGTGACAGGCCCTGGAGATGATAGTCATCGTAACAGAGTACCAACTTCACTAAAACATGGAGGGGTTAAGGGTCTGCGGTTGAGGTCATTGATAGGAGCCATCGTAAGAATATCACTTAGGAGCAGCACGAATGGTGGTAGTGGTAGTAGAAGTAGAAGAAGTACTAGTACCAGTACTAGTAGTAGTAGTAGTAGCAGCAGCAGGAGTAGTAGTAGTAGTAGTAGTAGTAGTAGTAGTAGTAGTAGTAGTAGCAGTAGTCGTGGTAGTAGTCGTGGTCGTTGTCGTGGTCGTCGTAGGAACAACAGCAGCATCAGCATTGCTACTAGCAGCAGGAGCACTAGCAGCGGCAGCAGCAATAGTAGGAGGACGAGGATCAGGCAGTAATGCAGCCGCGAAAATGCTGCTTGTAAGATCATCACCAAGACACCACGATTGTAGTAGCAGGTGCTGGTACGAGATGAGCAACATCAATGATGCTCGAACAGATAACGGTTGCAATCCGACTAACTCGCCTCATACACGAGCACTGGTACAGAAGCCAACAGGACAAAGCAGCAGTGAGCGGGAGGACTAAACACAGTAGCAAGAACATTTAGTGCGGACAGCGACTGTTATGATCGCAGCAGGGGTGGCGAGAAACCTCGTCATCGTGCATCTACTTGCTGCTTTTGAGGAATGCTACCAACAGTAATCAAGGTATGCAAAAGCCCTAGTTGTGGCAATCGTTCGATGAAGTGGTAGCTCTACTGGAACATTGCTTGTGCCTCGGTGCCAAACAAGCCATAGCCTCCTAATTATCAGAGTCATATTCAGATTGACTTTACACCCTTGTGAGACTCACAAAACAAGCGAGCTGTTAACATCATCCTCTGCCTTTGCCACGATCAAGCCATGTACTGCCCGACATGCCAGGCAATCCGGGTCGTCACGGTTTAACCATGTCACCTCAGCAGCAACAGTCTCATCTACTGCCGATGCAGTCCAAGAAGCTATAGTGGCCAGGGCACATTCTAAACCGACCGAAAGCTGTAAAAAGAATCATGAAGGGAGCTCGAACCTAAAAGCCCAACCATAACCATAAACCCCTCATTTTTGTCCCACTATCAGCAAAGTTCATGTGGAGCCCCTCATCCCAGATTCGTGACCCAAACCCTAGGCCTGCCATAGTCTGGAAGCCCTGCACTTGCAGCTTCAGGAAACAAGGGACCCAGGATGACCCAAGTATAGCCTTCCTACCCTCCTATTGCTGATGGACAAAATCCTGCATGACCCTAAGGACTCTAAACTATGGGAACTATGGTATATTCCGTATAATGGGTAATGCAGGATTTTGTCCATCAGCAGTATCATAACGACCGTTAAAATCATGCACCCCAGCAATCCCCAAGTAGGGTGCAAAAGACACGATCCTCATATTAAATATGGTACCCTAGAGACCCAAGGCGGGGATCCTTCCTACGCTGAGCAGTTCATATTATTCCTAAACCCTCAACCTCTAAACCCTAATCCCTAAACCCTCAACCTCTAAACACTAAACCCTAAAACCAAGAAAGCCCCAAGAAAGGGAGCTTCCCTTCGCTTTCCGAGCTTTGGAGCCATGGTTCCCGACAGTAGGAGCTGGCCCCCCGAGCTGAAGGAAAGCCGGTTTAGGGGTTCAGGGTTTAGGTGTTTTGTGGATTCAGGGGTTTGGGGTTGAAGGGTTCAGGGTTTGGGGATTTAGGGCTTAGAGGTTCAGGGTTTAGGGGTTTTGCGGATTCAGGGTTCAGGGGTTTTGGGGATTTAGGGCTTAGGGGTTCAAGGTTTTTAGGGGTTTTGTGGATTCAGGGTTTAGGGTTTGAAAGGTACAGGGGTTCTGGGAATTTAAGGTTTAGGGGTTCGAGGTTTTTAGGGGTTTGGTGGATTCAGGGTTTAGGGGTTGAAGGGTTCAGGGGTTTTGGCGATTCAGGGTTTAGGGGTTCGAGGTTTAGGTGTTTTAGGGGTTCAGGGCCTAGGGGTAGAGGGGTTTGGGGAGCAGGGAGTAACCCTGCAGCGTAGTATCAGTACGGGTGATTATTCAGAACCCTCTCATATTATCTTTGAGGTCTGATAGGAATGTTCAAGGACAATAGCACGAGTGCTGACACCCTCCTGGTGGATGTATAGCACGCTACTCCGGCAGGATAGCTCTTGTCGTATGGGTCGATATACGAGATTTTTGTTAAGTTCAGGATTAGGGGCTTGCAGGGAGGGCTCATTGATGGAAGATCTTTCCCGCTAAACTCTGGACCAGAAGCCAAAATCCCAACCATGAATGAAGCAGTGCTGGACCACGTGTTCGCGTGCCAGTGTTGTCTTTGCTATGTCTCTGCAGAGTTTATTTAAGGTTATATGTCTAATGGCACCTGCAAGTTCTCTAGAGATGCATCCCACTTCCTGCTTCTGTGAGGGGTTCGTCGAGTACTTGAAGACCGCCTCTGCACGCTCAGGCAGGCAGCTGCTTGCAGTGTTGAGCTCCAGGAGTCACTAGAACAAGGTGTTGTGTTATGGATTTGCAACAGCTGCCTAAGAAGCTCGCAAGTACGTCGCGGCACTCGCAGGAATACCGGCGACCTTGCTATCAACACCAGGTCGCCATGCAAAAGGCCAACCTGTTTGATCAAGCTAGAGACTCATTGCTGTAAAGACCACTTTATACATGCTGCAAACTCACTGATCATGGTAGATTTTCAACCTGAAGGCCCCAGAGCCTCGAGCCGAAAGAGCGGTAAAGCCGGAAGCCTAAGCCACGACTTAGAGGATCATGGGACTTAGTAGGTAGGTTATAATTATAATTGGGGTTATAAGTCCCCTAAGTGGGGTTATCCTAATTATAACCTACTTATAACCTTACTTACTAAGTCCCATGAGCCTTCAAGCAGTGGTGTATCTGTGCTGACACAGGAGAGGAGGCCTGCTTGAATGAGGTGAAGGCCGAGATACCCAGTCTTTTCGAGGCCGGAAACGATGCGTTCAGAGCCAGAGGTTGATGCTTCAGGGATTCAGGGCTTTGGACCTCCGAGCAGTTTGGGTTTGGGTAACTCGAGTTTTTGGCGATTGCAGTGCAATTGTCGCCGGAATGCGACTGATAGCTCCTTCGGTTCCTGCTTCCGGTGTAGATGCGATCCCGGGGCTCTTTCTCTCGATGTCACACTGCACAACTCCCGAATAGCGCCAGTCTAGGCCACAGCTTTGTTGCTGCACACATTGCATTCAGTACTCTGCGTATGTGAGGGACCAGAAATCACGTCAAGAACCACAAAAACTATCGAACTTCCGGATTTCCCTTCTGGGGCTTGCCGTAGGGCGACCGATGACCCTGCATGCGTCTGACCGAAGTCGCACTTACAACCTCGAAACCCTCAATCTCCAACTCGTCAGCACCTTAAATTCGGATAGTCAAAACCCAGACCCCTAAATCTCCAGTCACCCTCCAAAACCCTGCACTGCCGCCCCTGAACCCTCAACTTTGCACCGCAGTGCGTTTGGTGTCACTAAACTACTAAACATGTTTAATATATCTTCCGTCGATCTATTTCAACACCAAAAGTCTTCATCCACCAAAATATTTTCCACAAACTAGTTTGCACCAAAAGATGTTCGCCAATGTGTTTAACGAGGCGGCCCCGGCGATCGAAAAGCGCCTCTTTGCGATCGAGGCGGAGGCCAGGAACGCATCGTGCATGGTGTCTGTCCTAGGGATTAGGGTACTATAGGGGCCTAATGAATTACGAATACTATTTTGGCGGCTCCTTATTATAATTATAGAATAATACTCCCCCCAAACCTATTCTATTTATTCAGGCCCCTATGATCGAAGTTTTAGGGTTTAGGGTAAGGTAAGGGGTTTTATGAAGACGGCCCCATGCCACGGAGAGTTGTCCACACCCACTACATACGAGCTCAACCATGGTGGATGCCACAGTTGCGCCTTTTGAAGCGTGGCGTTCGAAACCAGCGAAAACTTCGAGGAGTAAGCCTCAATCGTCCAAGAACGTCTCGAGAGGCCCAAACCTCTCGAAGCCATTTCTTCGGACTGGCGCAGGTGTCTGCGCTCAGGGAGGACCTGTCGCGGAACCTCGAGGAGGTTGGGCAGTTCAGCATGATACGCTTGTCGGACACATAGATACATCAACACACCGACAGACAGACGCGCAGACACATAGACAAACAGACACATAGAGATACGGACACACATACACACACTCGCACCCGCGCACACACACACACACACACCCGCACACACACACACACACACTCACACGCACCCTCACTCCCTTACTCCCTCGCGCACTCACTCAATCATGTGTCCTCATTCTGCTTTCTCGGCGCTGGCTCCTCCTGACAACAACGTTCGACTACACCATTACCGGCCCGGAGCGATAGAAGGGTTATTAAACGTTCTAGTGCGTGTTGCTGTTTGTTGCGTTGTTGGTGATGGTGGTGGTCTGTTAGTGTTGGTGTCGGTGTTGTCGTTGTCGTTGTCGTTGTGGTGGTTGTTGTTGTTGCTGCTGCTGGCTGTTGATGTTGCTTTTGCTGCCGCTTTTGCTTATGCCGTTGCTTCTGCTGTTGTTGCATATGTGTATATATATATATATATATATACGTATATATACCCATACATATGTACATGCATACATACCTACCTACATACATACTCACATTCTTGCGATATGTGTTTGGATTAAGTGGATTCTTATTTGTATATTACGTGTGATTTATTGTTTTCCATGTGTTTAAGTATTGGTGAATTTATGTTCATGTCTGTGTTGTGAACGTGTGTGTTGTGTGTAGATGCATGCATGCATGCATGCCTACATTGGAGAACTACTTCCTGTGCTGCTCCTTCAGCATTGGGCTTTAATCTCGTGTCTACAGGCCGACTTGCTCTTTGCACCCATGCTCTATGCCAAACCATGTGCATATGAGCAAGCTTGAGTTGTGGGGCCGTGGAAGGAGGCTACAGGCTCGAGATGTGAGGAAGTACAAGCT